CGGGGATGTGATACACTGTGTTTTTCAGTTACAAGATAAGTGACCAAAATTAGGTCAGCGCAGGTTAAAAGAAAGCGTCGCTGCAGGGAGAGAAATTTCCACAACTGAGGGCTATAACGGAAATAGACACCACTTGAGAGCGCGGGGATCAGACTCGTGTGTTAATCATTAAGCGCGAGTTGTAGATACCTTAAAGCCCTATGAAAGAGAATTGAGAACTCATACTGAGAGGATAGGATTTGTCTGGAAATTATTCCTTTTTTTTTCCAACCCTTCCCTGGCTCTGAAAGTCAGCTGTCAGTTTCAAAAGACAGAAGTTTCAGATGGAGTTTGGCGTAGGTCTAATGAACACTTTGATTGAATGTGGGGCTTGGTGTAGAGGACTCTTTTCCCACCAGCAAGAAACAATGCACAGTATAATACAATACAAACACAATATCCACTGATTTTAGACTAATCTCAAACGGATAGTTCCTCACCCACTTGCCCAGATGGACAGCCCAAACTTATATGGACAAATAAAAGCTTAAACAACAATAAATTACCCAGCCAAAAATGTCAAAATCTACCCGTTCACAGTTCACGTTAACTGACGGCCTTTAATAAAACTGACCAATCCATTGTCCTGTACTTTGTAAAAACAAACGCCTCTCACAATTCCTCTCTAGATAGAACTTTCACCCCGACTCAGGAGTATGAACGAGGACCACAGCACACCCAAAGAAGGAGAAGCAGGGAGCGCCTGTCCAAGCACAAGGAGAACCGATGCAGCATTTCCCAGGCCGAGGAGGAGGCCCATTCCTGGCCCAGCAAGTTTTCTATGCACAGGAACTCCCGCGCCTTCAAGCGCAAAGTGATTGATAAGAGGCACGACTTGGAGCAGGAACAGATCCGAGAGGTGTGGAGGACGTACATCCTGTGATTCAATAAGTCATAAGTTATAAATTGATTTTGTTTTTAATTTGTTAAATATACAAACTCAAGCTTCATTATGTCCAGTTTGATTTGAATTTTGAAGTTAAAATCCCTGTTATTAGTTTTCATTGTTTGTGAAGTTTGTGTGAAACAGGAATCCAATGGGGATTGGATAAACCAAAATGTTTTTTTTCTCAAGCAAACAGCAAAGTGTTGTCCTTAATTAACTCGCGACCATTGTTCAGTAGATACGTGAGGTGTTTCCTATTAAACTATTAAGAAGATTATTACAAAGTAAAGCAAAGGCAGCCAAATGTCAATAAATCTGAAAAGCTGTGTGCAAATCGAGCGAAGTTTTAGGAGGTCCCAAAAGATGTTCCATGGGAAAGATACTTCAAAACTCGAGTCATGTATAGATGATAGTTGTAATGTTTTGGTAAACGAGAAAAAGGAGGTGTTTAAATCTGAACATTAATGATAAGATTTAATCAGTGATATCTTATTCATTTTTCAGATGTTAATAATAGCAAAACATTGTTTTCTGGGCTTAAAAAAAACAAAAAGAAGAAAATTGTTTTCTACAAGTGAAAAATATGAATGAGTAATGAATGCACCTACTCAAGTCATCCAGCGATCCTTCCCCTTCTTTTCCCCCTCCTCGTTCCATCTTTCCCCTCACGTTTCTCCCAGGAGCTCAACAAGAAGAAACCAGGGAAAGAGGATGGAGCACGCCATGCTGAATCCGCAAACACGACGAAGTCCACGCTAGGGAAGCTGGAGCAGAGGCAGCATCGAAGACGCTGCAAAGCTGCGGATGGACCTGTGGCCGCCTGCCAAGCACCAGACGGAGCTGGAGAACCAGAATCCGAGTACAACAAACCGACGTGAGCGCGAAAACTCCACCGCAAGCACGTGCTGGAGCTCGGCAGCAGCCCCAAGAACCTCAAGGTGAGCGGGACACAGAGAGGTGTTATTATTAGAACGGGTGGTTGTTGTCGTAGGAACACAAAGAATGCTTTGAAATGCATCGGCTACGCGTAAGAAACCTGAACTTTTTTTTAAACGCTTTTTGTTTCCGGATTCATTTTTTAAAATTTTTCTGTGTCTTTTGAAAAGACAAATTTGGATTCACCCTCTTAAGATGGCGCAAGCACATGATAAACATCCTTTCTGTTTTATGTAGTTTTGATAATGCAGTGATGCAACGAGATGTAACAAATTAATCTGGAAAGAATGGTGAAAGGAACATACAAAATGTTGTCATCTCTGAATTCACTTCATTTTTAATTTGCTTTTGAGGATAAACAGAGAGTAGAAACTGTGGTTTTCGCCCTCTGCTGTGTTAAAACCTTTAACCTTCTAGCTGCAGGATCCTGGTGAAGGTTGGACTTTAAAAACAGAGTGAACAGTAGATTTGTTTAAACCTGTCCAGTATCTACTTTAACTATACACTCCGTGCTCTCTCTTATTTGATTTTCCTGTGCGTGTGCTATATGGAACTGCAAGATCAAGAAGCAGTTCCAGGACACATGTAAGGGGGCAGAAACAAGCAGTAACAAGCCCTGCGCCACCGACCCAGATGAAGTTTACGCCCAAGGCCGCTAGCACAAGAACGGGTGCTCAAGCCCTTGAAAGGATGAGCAGACACGCAAGCTGGCCATTCCTGGCCCTCCCCGTCCCGCCACGCCCCCCCCCCCCCCCCCCCCCCCCCCCCCCCCCCCCCCCCCCCTCCCCCCGCCCCCCCCGCCCCCCCCGCCCCCCCCCCCCCCCCCTGAGCCCAATATGAGCAGAGCATCAACGAGATGATGGCCCAAAAGCAAATTAAAAATAACAGTCAAGTGACATTCAAGATGATGACACCATTTTGTATGTTTCTTTCACCCATGGCTTTCCAGATAATTTGTTACATCCACGTTGCATCACTGCATTATCAAAAACTACATAAACAGAAAGGATAGTTAACTCAGGCTTGCGCCATCTTAAGAGGGGAATCCAATTTGTCTTTTCAAAGCCACATTTAAAATAATGCGGGGTAGAGGGGCGGGCGGGGGGAAAAAACTTAAAAAGATCGCGGAGGGAAACAAAACAAAGCATTTAAAAAAAAAAGTTCAGGTTTCCTTAGCCCCGTTCAGCATGCATTTCAAGCATCTGTGTTCCTAGATACAAACAACCACCACGTCTATTAAAAAACACATCTGTGTCGACTCACCTTGAGGTTCTTGGGCTGCTGCCGGAGCTCCAGCACGTGCTTGCGGTGGAGTTCCGCTCAACCAGTCGGTTGTTGTTGTACTCGATCTTGGTTCTCCAGCTCCCGCTTGGTGCTGCAGGCGGATCAGGTCCATGCCGCAGCTTCTGCCAGCGTCTTCCAATGCTGCCTCGTGCTACACTCCTGCGTGACCTCGTTCGGGCGATCAGCATGGCGTGCTCCATCTCTTCTGGTTCTTCTCTTGTTAGGCTCCTGGGAGAAAAACGTGAGGGAAAGATGGAAGAGGAGGGGGAAAAAAGAAGGGGGTAAGACGGCTATGGATGACT